ACACACACACACACACACACACCAGGGGGTGGGACAATCAAAGAAAGAGACAGGCATTTAATGAAAACACAGGAAGAGGGAGGTGAGAGGCAGAGGCTGACACACGGAGAGACAGACAGATGGACACAGGCCCAGGATCCCAGAAGACATGCTCCAAGGGAAGTACAAGTCCCGAGCTGGGTGGGAAGAGCCCCAGAGAGGGGAGGGCTGAAGACAGCAAGGACCCAGACAGACAGACAGACAGAGAGCCCATCTCCCAGCCCCTGCCCCGCCCGCCCCCCACTCCAGCCCATCCAGCCCCATCTGGCTCCCTCCCCATCCGTCCTGTCTCTCTCTCTGTCTTTGCCTGTCTCTTTCTCTCTGCAAACCACAGCTTTTTGGAGCCCCCGAGAGAGAAATGGTAAAAGAATAGACCATAGGTCAGATCCCTTGCGATAACCTGTGGGGTCTTGCATGTTCTGGCCTTGCCTCCAGCCCATCCAGCCCCATCTGGCTCCCTCCCCATCCGTCCTGTCTCTCTCTCTGTCTTTGCCCGTCTCTTTCTCTCTGCAAACCACAGCTTTTTGGAGCCCCCGAGAGAGAAATGGTAAAAGAATACAGAGATGAGAGAAAACACAGATGAGGGACTGTGTGTGTGGTGTGTGTGCGCACACACGTGTGCCCTGCACACAGTCTGGTCCGGAGAATTTCACGAGAGAGAAGGGAGGAGATGAAAGGAGCAGAGGATGAACGAAGACATCGCAGCGCCCAGCACAGCCTGGGAGGCAGCGGGAGCGGGGACACAGCATGCTGCGGACACCACACCACACACCCGGCACGCACGACACACTCTGCACATACAGCACACCCTCCATATACCACACACTGTGCACACAGCACACACCCTACACGCAATACACAAATTACACACACTGTACACTGCATACACCACACACAGCACACACCACACACATGACACCATGCATACACCCCACACTGCACACATGGCATAAGCCACACACCCCATGGTGCACACGCTGCACACACTGGAAGTACAACACTGGAAGGGGACGCCATGAACACACGCAGAAAGGGAGGCAGAGAGGGGCTGCGGGAAGACACACGGCCCAGGCATAGAGGGCCTGACACACACGTGCAGGCAAGCGCCGTACTCACACACGTGCACAGGCCATGGCAGGACCAGCTAGCGGGGAATCTCCAACCCAACTTTTACGTAGGAACGAGGAGGCCAGCAGTCCAGAGAGAGAGGGACAAGTGCAGCCCGGAGGCTGGAGAGATGTAGAGATGGAGAGAGACAGTGACCTTGAGGCAGACAGCGGTGACAGGCCTGGAGGGTCACACACACCCTGGAGACGTGCCCCAGCCTCCAGGCAGGAGGGACGGAGTAGGGGTGTGAACTATGATTTAGTCTTTTCTTATTTGTGCTTTTCTGTATCTTTCTCACTCTGCTAAAAAGAATATATATTATTTTTGTCATGGAGGAAAACATTTTATGTTTCTCAAAAAGAAGAAATGCAGGCAGAATAAGAGTAAAACCAACTGAAACCAGAAAGGGAAGCCTGGGCTCGGGGTCCCAGGGCCTCTCTTCCCCTGAAGGGAGCTGGAAGCTGAACAGGGTTGAGGAAGGAGGGGACAGAGGAGCTGGAGGAGGGGCGGCCTTGCGCCTCTGCTCTGTGTCTCTGTGTGTCACAGACAGAGCCGAGCACGCCTGAACTGGACGCAGGCCCAGAGTGAGGAGTTGCAACCAGAGAAGGCACCAGGGACAGGAGGAGGCAGTGGGGGAGTGGCTTTCCCGCCTCCCCTGCCTGATCGGACATGGCCAGTGTGTCCTGCCCTGGGCTCACAGCGGGAACCTCACCCAGGCCCTGGGGGCGCTGTTCTAGGGGCCAAGCTGCGGGACCACGGTGACTGGGGGCAGGGAGAGCTCCCAGGGGTGGCCTGTGGCCTCCGAGGTGTGTTTTGAAGGCTGCAGAGGAGTCTGCCAGGTTGCGAAGAGGGAGAAAGAGCGTTCCCAGCAGTGGCAGCGGCCTGGCGAAGGCCTGGGGTGTGGGGGGGCCGGGAAGAGTCGGAGAGGGAGAGAGATGGACGGGACCAAGACCCAGGGACAGGCACGGCGGGCGCGGGAGACTAGAGAAACAAAGGGACACAGCACCGAGGCCCAGAGGAAGAGAGACAGGAATGAGCAGGGAGACCCAGAGAGACACACACAGAAAGAAGAAAAGCAGAAGCGCAGAGACAGAAAGACCAAGGGGAGGGTGGCCGGGGGGAGGAAGAAACAGAAAACTGTCAAGACAGAGCCCAGAGAGAGCTGGAGAGGCACTGACAGGCGGGGGAGGCCGAGGGGTAGAGCCAGCGGGGCTGCTGTCCTGCCACCAGCCCCCACCCTGGGGACCGCGCCCGGCCCCCTCGCCGGCCCTCCCCTTCCCCGCTCCCCCCGCTCCCCGGCTAGCGCCGCGCAGGCGCACTCCCGACCCGCCGCGGCAGCGCGGGCGAGCGCTTTGTCCCTGCCGGGACTGGCGCGCGTCCCCGGCGTGCTCGCACGTGGCCCTGCGCCCCCGGGCACACGTGGGCCCCGCCAGGGTGGCTGGCGCCGGGTGCGCGCCTGAGCTCACACGGGTCCGCACGGGCACACGCCGCCCCCACTCACGTCCGCGTGAACTCAGCTACACGCGGCGGTTCCCGCACGCCCCAGGAGGCTGCAGGCTCAGGAACCCCCCGGATCTGCGTCCACGCGATACACACACATCGTACAACACAGCCAGAGCAGACCGACGCGCAGGCCGCATCCCCATTAATGTCCAAGTACACACATCGGGGACACACCCCAGGAGCCCAGGCTCACAGACCACCTGGACACCTGCACACACAAAGGTCCAAACAGCACATCTGCACAGACACCCATGAGCAAACGGGCCGACACACTTGCCCACATGAGTACAAAGGCGCACCCAGCCGGGCTCGCACTCCTACCAGCAAGGAAAGGACAAACTCACATCCAGACCCCGACATCTGCTCCCATGACACACGCACACCCCCTGCATTCTCCATTCTGACCTGGACACTATGGTGTATTTGGCCTGTGAAAATAACACTGAACAGAGAAATGTCCAGTTTTTGCAACTTGGTCTTAAGCAATTTTATGGCCAGAGGTGACTCGCATGCATAGGTGGGAGATCTGATGTGTATTTAACGTACAATAAATATCTTCCTATGGAGACTGTCCGCTAATCAACTTTCTGGGTCGTGTCCTTTGGTGGTGGGGGGGGGAGGAGGGGAAGGGTCTTTGGATTTTGCCTCAGAATGCCCAGGTCTTTTGTTGGTCTACCCTCACCTCCAGCCCTGCCCAGCATTCCTCGGAACACGAAAGTAGCACGCACAGCAGTATCCTCCCAGAGTGTTTGTGATCTCCCTGTGAACACACCAGCAACTCACACAGGCCTGACAGCCCCCCACCCAGCTCCCGGTGTCAACTGCCACCGTCCACCACAGGCATCCGAGTCGTGTCCTTGTCACGCTTGGGGAGTCCTGGGCTTCACCTGGTGTTTCTCCCAGGTGTTCACCCCAAACATAGGTGGCACACACGGCCACATTCCACCATGGCTGCCTCCAATCTGATCATGTCACCTCCTGCCTGGCCCAAAGCCCTCCTGCCTGGCCCAAAGCCCTCCAGCTACCGGAGCTGCCGGACCAAGGCCCTTCTAATGGCAGTTTGCTCTCACAACCCACCACTGTCACCCTCCAGCGCCCAGCAGACACTCAATAAACTGTTGGCCAAACTCTGAGGTCTGTTTGTGTTTAATCAGACAGTATGCAAAGTATTTACAACCAATTCTGTATCCCCCCCTTCCTCCCCCCCGAGCCTGGGCCATGGAATTTGGGACCACCAGACCCTGCCCAGAGCCAGGAGTCCCCCAGGCCTCTGCATAGTCATCTGAAATCTACAAAACACTGTTTTTTAAAAAAAGGACAGTATTAGGACACCTTATACAAAGGGCCTCGGGCAGTTGGAGGGGATTTGAGAGCACGCTGGGGTGAGCGAGCCCAGATGTGACTGCGATGGACGGGAGGAGACTTGGGTGATAAACATGTATGAGAGGAAAAGTTGAAATTTCATAGGCAGGCACTGCTTGGCCTCCTTCCCCGCTGGCAGGGCCTGGCTGGCTCGAGAGCCCCTGGCAGCGGGGATGTTATTGCTATGATGGGGTGCCATGGGTGAAATGTACAATGTGTCTGGGGAACACAGCAGGGGGTGTTTTTACATGTTAAATATGGACACACATGGAGACACACACACATGCACACACATACACGCACAGGGACCCTTGGCAAGATGCCACAAATTTGGCAGCTGCCCTTTTACAGATGGGCACACCGAGGCCCAGGGAGAAGCCGCCGCACACCCTAAGGCTGAACAGCAGAGCCAGGGCCGAAACAATCTCCTGATGTCCCGGGGCTGGGCTCCCCATGGATGTCCTGCCACGGCGTCTGGACAGGACAGGAGCTGAGCAGTTGCAGAGGCCATGGTCACACCTGGGGCAGACACTACAGCCCAGAGAAAAAGCAGGGGCCGCCCAAGGTCACGCAGCCAGTCCTGGTGCATGGCAGTGGGCACCTCGTCCTCTTTCACCCCAGCCCAGGCACTCCTTTCCCTTCTCATGAGTAAAGGGGTGCCAACTCAGGCAGGAGAGCAGAGGCCAAGCGTTGAAATGCCACAGGACAAACTGGGGGAAGGAGGACCTGGGGTTCCCTCCTGAGGTCAGGGCCAGGGCCTCCCAGCCTCTTGGCTCTTCCATTTCTGCTCGATTGCCTCCAGAGCCAGGGAGCTCACTCTTTCATAGCTGGCTGGCTCTGAAGGTCAAAAGCCAGCCACATGCTGATTGAAGCCTGCCTCTCCACATCTGCCCCTCCCCCCATTCCCAGCGCAGCCTCACATCTGCCTCCGTTCTCTTCCCCCACGACAGCCCAGCCGAGTGGGCAGCAGCTGAAGAGCTCTGCTATCTCTAACCCGTCCTCAATCCCCTGTCCCCTGGCTGCCCCAGTCTGTCCGTGATGCCTCAGAGGACGATTCTCATTGGTTCCTGAGGAAGACAGAAGGAGCACCAGGTTCTGATCCCACCTCAACCCTGAACCTTTTTGTGGCCTTGGCAAGTTGCGTCCCCTCTCTGGACTCAGTTTCCCCATGGGTAAAATGGGAGGAAGCAATGGATGGTCTCTAAGGGTCCCTCACATCTAAGAAGGGCAGAGTCTGAGGGGTACTCATCCCCCCAGCATCACGTCGAGCTAGGCCTCAGGCCGCCCGGCCTGGGAGTGATGGCAGAGGGGTCTGGCCCTGGTGGCCTCCACCTATAGATGTTTCCAAAGTGGATGGCAAGGGGCAGGGTGGCAGGCAGGCTGCGGGCCAGGGGCCCATCGCTCCTCTTTGGAAAGGCTCTTTGGCCAGCTCTTGAGACAGACGTAGGGGCGTGGGAAGTGGGGAAGGAGCCGATGAGTGGAGTAGGCTGGGGCGGAAACGGCACCCCAGCCCCAGTCCGGCCCAGCCCAGCTCTTCCCAGTTCCTCCTCCAGAGACGGGCCAGCTCAGGGAGGGAGCGCAGGGAGAGGGCGTGTGGCTACGGCAGGAGCAGGGACAGTCACTGTGCCGGCCTTGGGTCCTGCCCTCACAGGCTCCCACAGGGCCCAAAGCCCTTCCATGCCACAAGAGAGGGAGAGGCCTGGCCCCTGGCAACTCAGCCCCCCGGAGCGAGGGCCAACGTGGGCAGGCAGCGGGAGGCGAGACCCGCATAAGGGGCGCCCCAGACCAGGAGTGGAGAAATCAGTCTGGCCCTGCCTGCTCCTAGAGGTTCTCTCCGGGCTGGTACTGGGGCTCGGTGGACGTGAAGTAGTCCTCCAGGAAGGCCTGCAGGTACTCGAAGGTGGGCCGCTCCTCGGGCTCCTTCCGCCAGCACTGGCACATGAGGTCGTGCAGGGACTCGGGACACTCGGGCGGGCAGGGCATCCGGTAGCCCCGCTCTACCTGGTCCAGCACCTCCCGGTTCACCATCCCTGTGGGCAGAGCGAGGCACGGGGAGGAGAGTGGGGCGGGGGAAGCTGAAGGGGACAACAGAAGGGCTTCTTGCCTAGGACAGGCTGGGCGTGACCATGGGTAAGTCCTGTCCCCACGGCTGAGAGCTCTGACCATGGAGAGAGCCTAAGATCAGAAGCTCAACCTCTCTGTTATTCAGATGGGGAAACTGAGGCCCAGGAGGGGTTGTGGCTTGCCCAAGGCCCCCAGCGCGGAGGGGTTCAGGGACTAGAGATGGCCACGGGGACCCCGCTTACCAGGGTAGGGCACCCGTCCCTTCGTCGTGAGCTCCGTCAGCAGGATCCCAAAGGACCACACATCCGACTTGATGGTGAACCGGCCGTAGAGAGCAGCCTCCGGAGCCGTCCACTTGATGGGGAATTTGGCACCTACCGGAGCAAAACAGGTGAGCGAGGCTCGTCAGTGTGTCACGACCACTCTGCCAGGTAGGCACCATTCTCATCTCCACTTGGCAGACGAGGAAACTGAGGCTCTGAGCTGGGCGCGACTGCCCAGGGCCACGTGGCCCCCGCCCCGCAGACCCCGCCCACCTTGCCGGGCCGTGTACTCGTTGTCTTCGATGAGCCGCGCCAGCCCGAAGTCAGCCACTTTGCACACCAGGTTCTCTCCAACCAGGATGTTGGCAGCGCGGAGGTCCCGGTGGACGTAGTTCATCCGCTCCACGTATGCCATGCCCGAGGCGATCTGCAGGCACAGCCGCGGGAACCTGGCTCAGCGGCCACCCCACGCCTCACCCCGGTGGCACGGGGCACGTGCCCAGGGTTGGGGTCCCCGCAGGGGTGGAGAGCCAACCACACTCCCCGTCCTCCCCACACTACTTCGGGCAAGTGAAGTCAGTTTATATTAAACATAAAAAGCAGGAGCAGCGCTCAGCGGGAGGAGGGGGAGCAGGGCAGAGGGCAGAGGGCAGAGGGGACACACAAGATGCAGTCAGGAAAATGTGGTGGCCATGAAAAGAGGCCCCCACTGACCCAGAGACACAGATGGGTGCCAGGGCCTGCCCACTGCCCCAAGTCCCCTCTCCGAGCCTCAGTTTTCTCATCTGTCAAATGGTAGTAACAGCCAATCCCTATTACTCCTGATTGTGATAAGGATTAAATGAAAAAATGATTGTAGAGCACCGCCTACAGCAAGCACTAATACACATTTGCTGAGTGACTAAATAACCTTTACAGAGAAGAAAACTGAGGCCTGAGGTCCCACAGCAAGTCAATGATTTCTGATGCCCAGGTAAGAGTTTTCCTCTGCCCAGAACCACCACTCATGTCAGCAATGACACATGGGGCAAGATCAGTTGAGTGTGGGGGCAATCAAGGCAGGCTTCCTGGAGGGGGCACTCAAGAGGCCAGATCTGGCTAAGCCAGATGGGTCTAGGTGCTCAAGGGCCCACAGTGTGGGGAGGGAGAAGGGGCTGACTCACCTGAGCAGCCATGTCCACCAGCTGAGGCAGCCGCAGGTACTTGCCTGTCTCCCCCTTGAGAAAGTCCAGCAAACTCCCTGGGCAGAGAGAGACCCAGCTCTAGCCCTTGCCCTGTCCTCCCTGAGCCAGGAAGCAGGGATTCCCAAATTCTGTCCCCGTAGCGAGGCTGGCCTTGCTGTAACCAGCACAGCAGATTTTACGGAGACCCAACTCTGAATAAAGCCCTACTCAGCGTTTGTCGCTCAAAGGCAAGCAGGAAGGGAACAGCCAAATGTCCCCCTCCAGGTGGCCGGATGGACTGTAGTACGTGTGTACAACGGAACCCTGCTCAGCAGCAACACGGGAACAGACTACTCAGAGATGCACCAAGGATGGATCTCAGATGTAAAAGGTTCCATATATGAAGTTCTAGAACAAACAAAACGGATCCGTAACGACAGAAGGCAAATCAGTGGTTGCCTGGCTTTGGGGCTGGAGGGCAACATCTGTAAAGGGGTACATGGAACTTTCCGGGTGATGGTGATGTTGTATACCTTGATAGTGGTCAGGGATGCACAGAGAATCCATTTGTTAAAACTCATTAAACCAGACACTTAGAACAGGTGTATCTTATCATATGTAAATTACACCTCCAAAAAGTGGAATTTCGAAAAATAACTAATTAATTTAAACATTAATTCAAGGTCAAGCCAGCAACTTGACCTAGATGTGGCTCAGCATGGAGAGTTGAGGGAGTTCTCTTTTAGCCCCAATATGGCAAACAGCTTTAAAAAACCAGCAAAGCTGGGGGCTGGGGGCACAAGATGGACCACGGGAAATCATTTAAAAAATGAAACGAGAAAGGCAATCTTTGGTTTATCTTCCCATTGACATGAGCATTTGATTCTGTTCCATTGAGGTGGGGGGAGGTACGGCTCGTCCCCCAGTTGTGAACGGCCCTGTCCGTGGTGGCTGCCCGGAGCGGGCGGCCCCGAACCCCCGTGCCAGGCGTGCCGGCCTCACCCTTGCTCATGTACTCCGTGACGATGTAGATGGGCTCCTCAGACACCACCGCGTACAGCTGTACCAGCTTCTCGTGCCTCAGTTTCTTCATGACCTGGGCCTCCTGCAGGAAGGCCTCTGGAGACATCGTGCCCGGCTTCAGGGTTTTGATGGCCACCCTGGTGGTGCCGTTCCAGGTCCCTGTGGTGGAAGGGACACGGGCTGCCTCAGTGGAGGCCCCTCTGTTCCTTTTGCACAGGGCCCCAGGGTCTGCCTGCCTGGGTGCCAGCTCCAGCTCTGGCCTCCCTAGCCACGTGCCAAGGCCAGCCAAGGCCAGTGCCCTTTCTGCGCCTCAGTGTCTCCACCTGTAAAAATGGGCACAATGACAGAGCACTCCTCGCAGGGCTGTCCCAAGGATTAAACGAGTCTCTGGTAACATGCTCACACAACAGTGGCTGTTGTCAGGACTATGATTACTAGGAATGTCCCCCAAAGTAGCACATTAGCATGACAATTAGAGCCCAGGGTTCCAACTCGATGCCCCCATTCCTGGGTGACCACGTTCCTTCTGGGCATTGGCAAATGGAAAGTGCACTGGCTGGGGCCAGGGGTGAGGAGGAGCCTGTCCAGGGGCCACGGAGGCCACCAGAGCAAGCGGTCGCCCCTGGAGCCCGCGCTCCCCCAAAAGCACAGCACCGCACTAAGCACAGAGGCTCGGAGGTCAGACTGGCCGCAGCTTGACTCCCACCTCTGCGTCCTGCCAGAGTTAGCTGCTCTGGGGAGTGGCAACGCCATCGCGCCTGCCTGGGAGCCGACTGAGGATTAAATGAGATTTTAGCGATTGGGCCGGGCCCACTGTGAGGCTCTGTAAAGAATGTAGTTATCGTTTCATTGTTATCTGGTTTTTAAACTGGGGGCCTTGGGGGAAGCTGTGTTCTAGGCCAGTGTGTTTAATCCGGGTTCTCGTCCTGGCTGGGTGGGAGCCTTCTTTAATGAGTGGCCTTGGGCCCATTCTCCCCATCACCCGCCCTCGATCCGAGGGTTGGGGCTCAGGCCCATCTCTGTGGCCCCCGTGGCCTAGGCCATCTGGGGATCCGTATGTGGCACTTCAGGAGTCTACCTGGAGCACGCAGGGAGGAACAGGGACCCGTCCCCCAGCCGTCACCACACACCCAAGCCAGGTGGTTTTGCAGCCACTGGAATGGCTATTACTGTGGCTTTATCCAGGGTTTGCTCGCGCTGGCGTCTCAGCCCCCTCCTCTCTCACCAGCTCAAGCCGCGCCTTCCCTGCCCTGCCCTGGCCTGCCCCAGGCTCCAGGCCTCTGTCCCTGCACTGCTCTCCTCGGTCAGCGCAGGAGAGGAGAGAGGAGACAGCGGCACCGCGTGCACACTGTGGCTCAGATGAAACAACCTTGCAAACAGCACCTCGTGCTCCGGCTAAAGCTGCAGACTCACATCTGCCCAGCTCCACCCCGCCCGCAGGATCCCTCTGCGTCAGCAGAAAGCGGCTGGCAGGAGAGGGGCCTGGGTTTTGTCATGGCTGCATGGTGCTCATTTTCAAGGACACTTTTGCTATTTCTCCAAGGTTAGACAGGAAATCACTAACAGGCAGGCCCAGAACATGCCAGACCCTAAGCTTCCCAGCATCCCCCTCCGCGAGTGGGGGCTGCTCTTCCCACAGCTAGCAGCTAACATGTGGACACACACGGGCCACTGTTCTCTCACAACCCCCTGACAGTCCTATCAGCACCAGCCCCATTTTACAGTTGGGAAGACTGAGGCTCAGAGTGCGGCTGCCTGGCCAGACCACCCCCAGGTCTGTGGGCAGCCAGGGTGCCTGGCCCTGAGCAGCTCTCGATAAGTAGGTGATACGGTCTGCAGGGCTGCGGAGCACAGCACTTGAGGGGCTACACCCCAACTCGGTGCCAGTCAGCACCGGGGAGCTCTATATTTAAAATAGGTGCTACTGTTTAGCAGAGGCGACTAAAGGGAAAGGGAACCAAGGGAGGCTCGAGCTGCCACGCAGGACAGACATCTGCCTGGTTCTCAGCAGAGACACCACCCCTCCTATACCCCCCCACCGCCAGCGGGCCGTGGTCTCTCCCGAGGGGGCAGTGCCAGCCTTACCCATCCACACCTCTCCAAAGCAGCCCTGGCCCAGCTTGACCTCCAGCCGTAGCGATTCCCGAGGGATCTCCCAGGCGTCCTTGGCCAGGCCCTGAGTCTGTGGCTTGGACGTGGGGCACACGGTGGTGAGGCGGTGGCACAGGCCGTCAGCGTGTTCTGAGGACACAGGCAGGGAGGTGCAGGTCAGGTGGCACGTCTGCCCTGGGCCTCCCTCTCCCACTGCGTGTGTAGCCCTGCACACGTACACACAGATGCTGCCCTCGAGGCCAGGCGTGGACAGCTATGTATACACCACGCCACCCCCACACGGGCCCACAGTGCTCTTCGCATCTGCTTACCGGGTCACTCATTCATTCATTCATCAGACTTCAAGGGGACCCAGGGACCCAGTGGGGAGTAAGTCCAGAGGAACCTGCCCTCGCAGCTGACAGTCCAGGGAGGAGCCCAGTCACCCCCCAGGACCACGAGTGTGTCCCAATATGTGTCCGGGAGAGGAGAGCTGTGTGCACAACAGCAGGAGGGCCTGAGTCCTGGGCGGCTTCCCAGAGGAAGTGGCAGCTGGGCTGGGATTTGCAGGACCGCGAGGGGCCGAGTGGGGAGGGGCGCCCCAAGCAAAGGGAGGGGCGCCCCAAGCAAAGGCTAGGGGCACCCCAAGCAAAGAGAACAGCTGCAGGGCTGCAGGGAGTGGTGGGGAAGGGTGGCGCCAGGTGGAGGCATCAGGCGCTGAGATTAGACCACCCAAGGCCTCAGGGCCAGCGGGTCTTTATCCTAAGCTCCCAACATAGCCCCTAGAGGATTCTGATCTGCTGGAGCGGGACCCTGCAGTGGTGGCCAGGGGAACAGAGAGTGTTGAGGATGGCAGGGGAAGGTGGGGGGCCCAGCTGAGAGGAGGAGGGGGCGCAAGGTGGGGAGTAGACCACAGCTACACACAGACGCCACGGCCACACGCCACAGGCACATGGGTACATAGGCACACAGTGGCCTCTTACACAGCGGTCCGCACGTGGGGGGCCACACCACTGCACCACGCCCCATCCCTCGCCCTCCTTGTGGTGGGCGCCCTGAGCCCCTCAGCCGCTCTCCCCCTCTCTCCCTCTTTGCTGCAATCAATCTAGCCGCCCCCTCCTCCTCTCCCAGGAACCGGTTCAGACCGGTCCTACGGCTATGCAGACAGACACCAGCCTCTGTCCCCTCCCTCCCACCAGCTCACCCCGGTGCTCCGCAGGGTAGCCCCCTCCTCGCCAGACAGCTGCGGAGAAAGAGGAGGAGTAGGGAAGGCCAGAGGGGAAGGGCAGGGGACAGGGAGGAGGAGGACAGGGAGGAGGGGAGAGAGAGAAGGGGGAAAGAAAGGAAGAGGGGGCAGGGGGCAGGGAGGGGAGGTGGGGGGAGCAGCAGACCCGGCCTCCTCAGGGAAACAGAGGCCCCAGCCCCCTCCCAGCGCCCCAGGGTAGCCGGGCACTCACTGGAGTAGTAGGCCACCAGCTGCTGCAGGCTGTTGAACTGGGTGCGGGACGTGATGTAGAAGCCGCCGCTGTCCAGCTTGCGGATCTTGTAGTGCTTCACGTTGAGACCCTTGGCGTTGTCGAAGTCGGACACGGAGAGGCAGTAGGCACCTGCAGGGCAGGCCCGGGGAGGAGTGTGACCAGCGCGCCAGTTGCCCCCGCAGGCCATGGCACTAAGCTCTGTTCTGTGCCTGCCCCACACAGGAGGGAAGGGAGGCCCGGGCTGAGAGCCCCTGGGCCACCCTGTCACTCAGCAACCGGCTCTGGGCCAGCCACCGAGGCAGGGCCAAGTGAGCAAAGCAACACCTGACCAGAGGGTCCCGCCATGCACCCTCGGCCCTGGCGAGACCTCCGAATCCCAGGTGTGCATCCCAGCTGTGTGACCTTGACAAGTCACTCGTCCTCTCTGAGCCTCCGTTTCCTCCTCTGCACAATGGGGGCACTCCCAGGACTGCTGGGAAGATTCGACGAGACAACATATAAGAGGGCCTGGCACACACTAGGAACTCAATAAATGCTTGCTGGGAGCCTGGGAAGGGCCCCATGAGGCTGTGTGTCCCTGGCCTAACTGCTTTCCCTCTCTGGGTCAGCCCACGGGGACACTGTCTGTGGCCCGCCCCTTCCTGAAGACAGGTCCAGGCTCAGGCAGGAGGGGGTGGCTGGCAGAGGGGGTGGCTGGCAGAGGCGATGGCAGTCACGGGCAGGAGATCATGTGCGAGGCGTGGCCTGAAGGCTGCCAAGGCCAAGCTGGGCCAGCCCTGGTGGTCCCTTCCCTTTTCCTTTGAGCCTAGACAGGCTTTTGGCTGGAAAGGTTTCCTCCTGCCTGGCAGGCCAGGGTAGGAACCTCTTTTAACCTGAGCCCAAGAGACACCTGGGTGGCATCAGGGATGGAGGCTGAGCCCCCGAGGCGGGAGCCTCTCAGGAGCCCGGCCCTGCAGCCCACGGACCTTGCCCTGGGCAGTCCTCGGGCAGAGGTTACAACCCCGGTGTGCAGAAGCGCAAATGAGGCCAGAGAGGGAAGTGGCCAGCCTGTGGTCACAGAGCTGGCCCTCAAGCCCACACCCGAACATCTACAGCCTGCATTGGGCAACCATGATTTTCTACAGAGGGTCCAGGCCGTGTGCATGTAGAAGCCACAGGCCTGAGGCTGAAGCCAACCCTGACCACGTGCGCACACACGCACAGGCATGCCGTGCCCAGCGGCCACATGCTTACGCAGGTACACATTCCCCAGGCCCCCGGGCACAAGGACAAAGCACAATTCACTCCCACGCAGCGACACACAGTTCCGCCCCCACATGCACACACGCATGCCCAGACCTACGCGTGGCATGCACACGTGTACACGGCCACACAACTGCTCATAAACGCACACGCACGACATGGATGCTCTGCTTCCCCATCTCCCGCTGAGCCCCAGGCCCACAGGAAGCGGCCCAGCTTGGTTGCCACGGTGACGAGGCGCCTGCAACCCACTTTCAGAGGGGCTGGAGAAAAAGGGGATGATCTTCATTCTCTGGCCGGGGGGAGGGACAGGAGAGGAGCAGGGGCCAGGACTGCCCGGCACGGGGGGCGCAAAGCCAGGCCTGGCACCCAGTGCAGCCCCAGGGCCCCTGGGAAGGCGAAGAAGAGGGGCCTATTACATCAGTACCCACCTGGGAACAAGCCTTTTGCCATGTGACACTTGGACCTCCTGACAACCTGTGCCCACTCCTCATCTCAGGAAACTGAGGCCAGAGAGGCTAAGCCTCATCTTTCACTGGGCCTCTGGCCACCCTAGATTACTCAGAGTTCCTCAGATATACCTCCCTGACTTGGATCCTACCATTTCCACCACCTGGAGGGCTCTTCCCTCCCCACTCCATATATCAAACTCCTATTCACTCTGCAACACCCAGCTTAAACCACCCGCAAAAGACTCAGTTTTCATTGGCCAGCAGGAGTGTTCATACCTTTTGTGGTCTCACTTTCTCGTACTAAGAAGGTCCCTCTCGGGTTCTCGGCGTTGAGCAGTAACCGCTCTGATTCTCGTCTGGTGATCTTGCCAAAGTACCATCTGGGGTGGGAGGGAGGTGGGTGGCATTGGTGGTCCAGGCTTCTGCCCAGTCACAGCGCCTCTCCCTGGATGTGGCGGGGGCCCTGGGCAGCCAGACCTTCCACCCCAGCCTGGGAAAGACGCTCTGCGCCGGCAGTGACAGGGATATACTCACTCCTCGGCCTGGATGGAGTCGGAGGGCGCCACATAGTTGCTGGGGATGTAGCCTGTCTGTCCCGTGCTGAGCGAGTGGGCCAGCCACCAGTCTCCCTCTCTGAGCAGGGACAGAGGAGGAGCAAAGGAGAAGGGAGCCATCAGCGGTGAGCCCGGTGCCCGGATCTTCCTAGGTGCGGTGCTGGGGCCCTTGAGGTCAAGTGAGGCCCGGGGAGGCAGTGGGGCTGGCTTGAGCTCTCGCAGAGCGCCAGGTCAAGCTGGCCTGGGACTCTGCCCCTCCCTGGCCCAGATGCCTCTTTGCCAAAGCTGGCTCAGATGGGCCTTGTCCAGGACAGTGGCAGGACTGACCTTGATCAGCCCGAGCCCCAAATCCACCGGGGCAAAGTCCTGGGATGGGCAGTAAGCTGCTTCCTTTCAGATGTGTATCAAGACATCTCAAGATGCCAGCTGCCTTGGGAGCGAGGGAGGGAGCTCCCTGTCCCTGGGGGCAAGCAAGGTTGTAACAAGAGAAAAGATTCCTGCCCGCAATAGAGTCAAATTCGACCTACAGAGTTTCCCAAGCCCTGAGATTCAGAAGCCCAATCCTGGGAGCTGACGAGATGTGGGTGGAGGCAAGGGGTGGTTCTTTTGGGGACCGGTGACAATCTAGGCCCCAACCCTGCAAACTAGAGCAATGCTTATCTCTGTCACAAATCATGGGTCACACCTAAAGGGCTCCTCGGCTGAAAACTACAGGCCTCCTCCTGCAGCCTACCATCTGTAGGGGGAAACTGAGGCCAGAGTGGGCTGGGACTTGCCCAAAGTCACACAGCAAGCCATGTCAGAGGGAGCTAAGGTGGCAGAGCCCCAGTGCCCAGGGCACTTCTATGCTAACTGCCCCGTGAGGAGGAGGAAGGGGGAAGGAGGTGCTGGGGACAGGGGCAGGAGGAGCTCCTGGCGTGGTGGCTGGGTCCCCTGGACGTGGGTGGGCGTGGGGAGGGGTGGAAGTACCTTTGCAGCCATCTGAATGTGAACCAGGTCTGGCTGGAGCGGGGGTCCAGAGACACAGAGGAGGGAGGAGAAAGCGAGAGCCCAAGAGGAGAGAAGAGGCAGAGAGGGGGGTGGTGAGAGGCAAAGAGTGACAGGAAGAGCGAGGGAGAGAGCAGGAGAGCCAGGCGGTGCTGGGGACGGGACGGGGGCAGCCACAGAGGCCTCACATCCACAGCAACCAAAGGGGACAGGGAGAGGGTCCACAGGGACTGGGGGAGGGGTGTCACTGGGCAGACGACCTGGGAACTAGGGCTCCCTCTCAATCCCACTGTACAGATGGGAAGACTGAGGCTAGAGAAGTGAAGCCCTCTGCTCAAGGTCACACAGCCAGGCCTGGGTTCCCGGACGAGGAGGATCCCTCCCATACAGGGTGTGGTGGGGCTGATAGCTTGCTGAGCTCTTCTCAACCCAAGGCCACCTTTGGACCTCACCATGACACAGAAGATCTATATAAGCAGGGTGTCCCCCCAGCCCCTGCTAGGGTCCAGTCACAGAAAGGACCTTGCCTACAGTCACACAATCTGAACTTGAACCTGGCTCCCTGGCTCCCAGTTCTTCTGAGCTGCCCTGGCCAAATTCTTCAGCCCATTTTAAAGATGGAGAAGTTGAGGCCAGGAGAGAGCGGGGCTGAGGGAGCTCTACAAGGACCTGTCAAAGGACAGGTGAGCACCCCAGACCCTGGGGCTCAGCTGGGTGGGCTGAGGTGAACCAGAGGGTGGGGGTCCCTTCCGGATAGAGTGAGCCAAAGTGGGTATGACTGGGGCTGTGTGGGCCTGACTCAGTTGTGTGACAGCCACACGCATGCTCAGGGAGGGGGCAAGCTCACGTGGGATCTCTAAGGAAGGAGGGGCCCTGGAGGGAGGGGGCAAGTCCCGCGCCAAGGAAAGAAGCCTTTGGATGCACAAAATCTCCATTCACCTCCGCATTGCAAACCCACCCAAGGTGTCCACACTTGTCTGTCTCGTTTGACCCTCACGGCCACCTGCAAGGAAGGAATGCAAGGTCCCAGCCCCCAGATGAGGAAACTGTAGCTCAGAGATATTGAGGGATCAACCCAGGGACACACAGCACCCAGGCTAGAGTAGCCCAGCACTTTCTTTACAGAGTGGGGGAAACTGAGGAACAGATGGGGCAGGGACTTGCCCACAGCTATAAAGCGAGGACTCAAGTCACAGGGAACAGCTCTCTGAGATCTTCCAATCCAAAGCCTCCATCTCACCAATGGGGAAACTGAGGCACAAAAGGGCAGTGATTTGCCCGAAGCCACACAGTGAATCAATAGCAGAGCAGGGGTGAGAACCAGGGCCTCTGGGTGCCCACAGCTGCCCCCACCAGGCCTCACAGAAGCCGAGACCCTCACGAAAGCCAGTGGAAGGCAGAACTCGAGGCAGCAGGGCGGGGGCAGGGGACAGGCGGCACCAGGACTGGGCCAAGGTCTAAGGTCAAGAGGCTACAAAAAGAGGCCACTTGGCCAGCTGCTGTGGCTCACACCTGTAATCCCAGCACTTTGGGAGGCCGAGGTGAGAGGATCGCTTAAGGCCAGGAGTTTGACATCAGCCTGGGCAACAAAATGAGATCCCATCTCTACAAAAAAATTTACAAAAAAAGAAAAAAAAAAAAGAGGCAGCTTGGCAAAGCCAGAGTCTGCAAGCTGGCCTCTGGGGAGCCCCCGGCCCCCAGCTCAGAGGGAGGCTGGCAGAAGCGAGTGCCCAGTGGCAGCCAAGCCGGGCTCCGGAAGCAAGACGAGTTCAGCTGACATCACCCAGACTTGGGCAAGCAGAGCTCCCGGCTTCCCAACATCAGCCCACATGTGAGTCTGGGGTTTCAGAGTCCAGTTTGAGGTTTTATTTCACAAGGGACAGGGACAGAAGTATACTGCAATATTACTAAAGAACCGCGAGGTCCAACTTCAGCCTGTCCCTTGCCTTCGGAGGTGTTCGAGAGCTCGAGCTCCAGAACTGGCCTGCCTTGGGCGCCATCCCAGCTCACCCCTTGCTGGCTGTGTGACCTTGACCCCTCCACACCACACCCTCCAGTCTCAGTTTCCTCACCCGTAGGAGGGGATAGTCATGCCTCCCTCGGAGGATGTAAAATGCCAGAACAGGGCCCAGCTATAGTAGGTGCTCAATATGCGTGAGCTGCTAGTATCCTGATTTGGCTAAACAAATACGTAAAAGCAACTAAATCTGTAGCTCCGTGGTGCCCCTCCCTACTCTCCGAAATGTTTTTAAAAACCAAAGCAGCACAGTCCCAGTCTCCAGCAAGGATTTGCTGTGTCACCTTGGGCAAGTGCCACACCCTCTCTGGGTTTTAGGTATGAAGGAGATCATATTCATGGAATCTCCCTTGCAGGCAAAGTGTGCAAATAGTCAGCATCAAGCTGGGCCCAGGGGAAGCTGAGAAAATTACTGTGATTATCATCAGGGCCTCAGTTGGCCCACCTGTGAAATGGAAGCATCGATCCCCATCTTCCCGTGTCAAGGGTTTGGGAGGCTCAAACCTGCCTCAGGTGGCGGTGGTGGGAAGGAACAGTGACATCGCTCTATCAGGTGGAGGAGTTTTACTGCATCCAGCGCCTTCCCTGGGGCCTGACCCTCATGAGGTAGGCGGGAAGGGAAGGACAGAATCCCAACGTCCCCTGCTCAACCCCTCACCTTCCCACATGTGGCCGGAAGAGGAAGCCCCGGGCCAGGAACCCCCAAGCTGAGATTTTATATCCCAGCTGCTGTTCACTAGCTATGTGACCTCAGGCAACTGACCTCACCTCTCTGAGCCTTGGGATCCTCTTTATGGACTTAATCCCTGTGTCCAGCCAGGCTGGCATGTGGACCAGGGCTGTGGCAGCTTTGGAACCTGGGACATGATGCCAGTTTGGGTCTTGACATTTTAACTCACTTGGGCTGTGGGACTGGTCAGAGAAGCTCTTTGGGGACTGACTGCAGAGAAGCCGGGGCAGCTGGGTATGGCCAGCCAGAGCCCGACAGCCCCAGGGCTGAGGCTGGCCAGGGCCCCGTTAGAGCCAGGCAGTCAATCTGCCAAGCCCCACGGCCTGGGGTGCATGGTAAGGGAAGGGTGAGGCCAGGGCAGGTCTCGGGAGGAGGACATGAAGGCAGGGTCCTTGGAGGCTCTGAAGTCCTGAGGTGTCCACTGCCCTGGAACGCCCAGGCAGGGAGGCAGAGGTGGGCTGCAGTGCTGTTGCCCGGCAGTACCTGCTGGAAAGCTCCCCACAAGAAGATGCTGGAATGTGGACGGGAGGAGGGGCAGTTCGTGGAGCAACCCAGAGGGGCCCTGGAGACTCAGACGCCAGGCCAAGTGGGCTCAGGTCAGCCAGACCCCAGACCTCAGTAGGCTTCTTCTGGCCCAGGGCCACACAGTACGCAGGACACTGCGACCCAGGGCCATTTGGCACCAGGGGCCATGAAGCGGGGTCTCCGGGCCTGCTATTGTGAGGACCCCACCCTGGCCAAACCCCGACAGACGGGCTCCACCTCCCCCGACAGCCACATGGGGTGGGGGCCCCTGCTGGATGCACTGAGCCCCTCACGCACACAGGGTGGGGCAGGCGCTAAACAGCAATGGCCCCTAAGCCATCGTGGGGGTCCCTGGGTGAGGTACGAGACCTGAACACCTCAAATGCGGGTGGCCCGTCTCCATGAAGCACCCCTCTCTCCTCTTCCTCTAACGCCAGCCCCAGCTCTACCCGCCCCCCGACTTCCAGACAAGGAGCAGCGAGCGTAGTGGCTCCCAATCCACACACCCCCACCCCACCAGGACCCCTCACTGCCGCCCGGGGGCTTCCCGTGGGTGAGACTCCATCACTCCCAGCCCCCCAGCAGCCCCAGCCCACCCTGGAAGGCAGCAAGAAGGGAGGGAAGGGGCTGGACAAAGGAAGGAGTGGGGGCTGCCCTGTGACCCGGGTGGAAGAGGCGGAATCAAAGTTCCGAGCCTTTGCTGCCCGCACACCTGTGCTCACGCTGCGACCCAGCCTGAGATGCCCCCAGCACTTGAAAGCCACCAGCCTGAGGCATCCTCCCCTGAACGGGCCTGTCCCTCCTCCGGGCTCACTGCACCTCCACTGAGCCCTCCCGCAAGGGCCATGGGTCCGAGGGCCAGCCTACCCCTCCCAGCTCTGCCACTACTAGCTGTGTGACCTTGGGCAAGTCATTTCCCCTCTCCGGGCCTCAGTTTCCTCATCTGTAAAATGGAGCAAATGACAGTTCCCACTTCTCAGGGCTGCAGTGACGCATAAATAAAACAATGCAACTTAAATCACTCAGCACAGGACCCGGCTCGCACCCAGAGCACGAGAAATGCTCAGAGCACTATGTTACTGTTCATTCACCCTGTTCCCCAGCACCAGCTGGCCCCCCCAGTGTGCTGAATGACAGGTGACATGGGGACTAGAACGGAGGTAGACCTGAGAGCGGCTCAAGGAGCTCCCAGTTTGGGGGGAAGCAGGTGCAAAGAGCTGGTGACAATAAAGGGACTGGAGCCAGGACTCTGACATGCCAAGGGGGGAGCTGGGACAGCTCCCTCCCCTTCCCCAGAGAGCAGTTTGAGGAGGGGAGAGAGCCACAGCCCAAGTTCCAATCCTGGCTTTGCTACTTGGTAGCCATGTGACCTTGGACAAGGGCCTTCAACACCTCTTAGCCTCAGTTTCCTCATCTGCAAAATGGAGTCAGTCCCCTGCCCCATCACTACAGCCCTGGTTGGATTGCAGAGAGGAGCTAATACAAGGGGGACATGGGCAATGATGACTGGCACAGCACCTGGCACCTATGTTCCCTTCTGCCTCACAGAGAAGGCAGTCCTGTGCTGGATCTTGAGGGATGAATAGGAGTTCCCCAGGCAGAGGCTGGAGAAAGGGCATTTCAGGCAGAGGGAAGAGCATGCACAAGGGAAGGGAGGCATGAACAAGCAAGACACGCTTGGGGCTGGTGGAAATGTCCCACTTCCTGAGCCAGGCCTTTGAGGACACTCAGGGATCGAGTCTCCTCTCCCTTCTAGAACCCCCCTGCCTGCCATAGCCCTGAAGACATCAGCCCGCTGCAGCCCTGCACCCTCCTGCAAGCTGCCCTCCTCGAGGGGTGGCCGTCCACCACCTCTACCTGCCACATGACTTCACTGTCTTTCCTTCAAGGCCTTTGACCCTCCCAGGCGCTGTGGACACCACCAGAGGGAGGCACACTGCAGGGGTTCCAGGAGCTGACCCCAGTTTCTGCCTGACACTTGGCCTGGACTGGAGCAAAGGGCTGGCTCCCAGCCGCACTCTGGCTCCAGGAGGGTGTGGACAAGGCCTTCTCCGCCCAGGCCGCAATGGGCTCAGCACTGGAACCTGCATGCAGCTAGTGCTCAAGGTGGGCTGATGGTCTGAGTGGGGAGGGGTGAGGTAGTGGGGAGGGGCACAGGGAGGAGGTGTGAGGAAGGTGCAATGGATGGCCCCGATCTCAGCCCAGGGTTCAGGTCCAGGACCTGGTCAAACCGGTGGGGGGTGGAGAAAAAGCTAGGGAAGCTGGTGAGGGGGCAGCCGAGGGAGCCAGAGACCACAGGCAGGGACACGGGCAAGGAAGCACATGCAGACGGCACCGGCACGCCGACCCCCAGCAAAGCACCCCCCACCCAGCCCACGGTCCACGCAGTGTGTACACACCTGACATCCACCTTCCTCCTAAGGGCCAGCGAGAGAGAAGCAGAGAGAGGGAGAAGCTGAGAGAGGGCTGGAGGGAGCAAGCAGAGCCAGAGATGGGGAGCGGTCCCCTGTGGCCAGGGAGGGGTGCCCCGCGGCTGGGAAAGGACGGCAGGTGCTGCCAAGGGCGGAGGTGCAGTAGGTGCTGGGCGCCACACTGCCCTCTGTCCCACTGCCCTCTGTCGGCAGCTCCTGTGTGGCAGGAGCCCCCACTGTGAAATCCCCCCACTGTGTCCCGAGGGGCAAGAGGGAAGGGGGTACTCACGTGTTGTTGACGATCTGGAGCCGTTCCCCTTTCTTGAAGGACAGGTCAGTCTCTGTCCGTGACTCGTAGTCATAGAGAGCCACAAAGGTGGTCACTCCGCCTGCAGGGGGAGGGGTGTCAGAAGGGCGGGGCCGAGACGACTGGGGGGTCTCCCCCACAGCGGCAGTGCCCAGTCCAGAGACAGGGTCACATTCGGTGGGGGGAGCCTGCGTGCCTGTCCACACTGTCCACACTGTCCACACTGTCCGTGTGTCCGCGCATCCCTGCAAGGGCATGTGGGGCTGTGAGTGTCCCTTCACATCTGAGTGTGCCCCTGGGCTTTAAGTGGCACTGGGTATCGTCTTATCTGTTTGGTGTCTGTCTTGCTCATAGAACCAGAAGTCCCCAATAACAGGCATCTTTGTTTTGTCCCCTGAGCCCGGCACGCAGTAAGTGTTCAGGGAAGAACTTCGGGCTGCACGAGCAGGGACTGCGGAAAGCCCCACGGGGAGGCACTCTGTTTCTCCGTGACCGACGCCGGGTGCTTCCAGGTGTTGGGAAGACTTGGCTCCGGGTAACTGTCCCTTCAAAGAGGCCCCTCTGTCCCCGCATTTTAAGTTACAGCGTCCCCCTCCACACATCCCCGAGTCTCCCCTCCCCACCGTTCTGTTCCTTCACAGCCGTCTCCACCTTCCAAGACCCTACACAGGTGTACACACCTGTCCTCTGTCTCCCCGCCCCCCGGGGGCGCTGTCAGAACAGTCCTGGCACATAGCAGGAACTCCACGAATATTTCTTCAACAAACGGATGGGTGTGTCTGTGGGTCCATTTGTCTCACCTGGCTGTGTGTCTGTGTCTGAGGGCTCCACACCCGTCCGCGTGTGTGTGTCCGTGTGTCCTCACTGCACGTGTGCATTCACATACCTGTGAGTCTGAGTGTCGGCCATGGTATTTCTAGCTCAGCGTGTCCCTGTGTGTCCTCTGTGTGTCTCTGAATGGGCTTCAGACTGCATCGTGTGTGTCTTCATCGGAGACACGTTATCTGTGCGTGTGTTCGTATCCGCATGGGGATTGTGTCTGTGCGTCCACGTGTCCCTGGCTGTGCCTCGGTGTGCGCTGTGTGTCTGCGAGTGTGTGACGGCGTCCCCGCTCAGCGTGTGTGCGTGTGCTGCGTGGGTGTGCCCGTGTGTGGCCCGGCCGAGTGTGCGGCGCAGCGCACGTGTCCGCGAGCACCTGTGTCTGACCCTCCCGACCACAGACATCTGCGTCTCTCCGAGCGGCGCGCGCCGGGGCTGCCGGGCCCGCAGGCGCCAGCAGAGGGCGCAGGGGCGCACCTGGGCGCGGGCCCCGCCTGGAAGCCACGCCGGGTCGCGCGTCCTGCCCCTCTCCCGGCCCACCCGGGCAGAGAACAGTCCTGGGCCGGGGGCAGCAGCCCCCTGTGCCGCTCTTCTCCCCGGCAGCGTCCCCTGCGTGCTCAGCTCCAGGCCCCGTTAGACTGCGTCGGATCGCCTGGAAGGCACCGCAGGGCGCGCGCCGGCCACGCTCTGTAAAGCCCTTCCCCGCCACGGCCTCCAGGCCGAGCAACCCTCAGACCCTTCCCCTTCCTGACGGTTGGAAGCAGCAGCCCAGAGAGGGGCGTCTCCGCCCCCGGCACACAGCTCCCCTGGCAGAGCAGCCCGGGCCTGGCCAGGAGGGGCGAGGCCGTCCCGCACCGCCACCCCGCCACTCACCAGCCAGCGGCCCCGCCCTCTGCGGGGAGGTGACGGTGTCCGAGGAGTTGAAGCCTCCGAAGAGCTTGGGCTCGGCGGCGGCGGGGGCGAAGGCTGCGCTGGGGCCGCGGTGGCCGTCCGCCGAGGCGGGCTTGCTGGGGGTCTGCGAGGTGGGGAAGGCGCCCCCGCCCACAGCGTGGGCGTTCTCGGCGGGCTCCAGGCTGCGGCGCCGCTGGCTGGCATCCTTGGGCTTGCTCTTGTTGCTGCCCATGATCCTGGCTGGAGGGAGAGAGAGGACCCTGGGGTGGAGGAGAGCCTCTGGGAGCAGGAAGGGCTGCCTGGGGAAACTGAGGCCCAATGACGGGTGAGTTAGTCTCTCAGAGCCTCAGTGTCTTCATCTGTAAAATGGGCATAATGACGGTACCCATAAAAAGGGCCTCATTGGTACAGGGCCAGGCACAGAAGCAGCCCTCATCATCAGAAGCCTTGACCTTTCTCACCTCTCCTTGAGTCACTGTTTCTCTCCCTCATGGGCAGCAGGGACAGTATCTGAGTCATGCCTATGTACTCAGCACCTAGCTCAGAGGAGGGGACTCACTGAGGGTTTCTTGAATGAATATATGACTGACTGGAATTGTCTAACACTGGGAGAAAGGTGCTAAAAATGGCAACCAAGGCAGCAACGCCGGGGGAGGTTTAAAGGAGAGATGGCTGGGAGCTGACTCCAGCCACAGGGCCATTGCACGTGCTATTCCCACTTCCCTGAATACTTCACCAGGGTAACAAGTGCCTCCTTCAATTCTCAGCTCAAAAGTCACCTCCTCAGGAAGTGCTCCCCAAATCCTTTCACTGGGTTAAGTGCCCCTGACTTTTGTGCCTCTCCTTGATAAGTGGTCCTGTTTTTAATTTTTTTTTTAATTCATGTGATTTTATGATTATTGTCATGGCCTTTTATCTGTCTTCCTCATTGCTGTGCTGCTAGTGCCTAGCACAGGGAATGGCACACAGCAGCTGCTCAATAAGGAGTTGAATGAATGAGTGACTATTAAAAAGTTAAGATATTTCTGTGCCAGAAAGCTAGAAGGTCCAGAGATCAGGAAACACAGAGGGAACCAACCTGAAAACTCCTGGTGCCCATGGCCCTGCCACCCCCTGCCTCCCACTTCCTCATCCACAGGCCCTGGGTGGCCATGGCTTCCACCAAGCCTAGCCATCATCTCACCTGGTGAAGGCAGGGGCTGTCCCAGGGGATCTGGGAAGCAGCCTGAGGTCTTGGCACAAACACCAGGTGTGGAGTCAGAGGTTTCAGACTAGAGGCCCAGCTCCACCTCTCCCTGCTGTGTGTCCCTAGGCAAGTCACTTCCCCTCTCTGGGCCTCGGCGTCCTCATCTGCAAAGCAGGGACAAAGCAGACTTGTCAGGGCTGCTGTGAGGATATGATTAGAAAGAGAAATCGTAGCGCTGTCACTCTTGGATCACTGTTCATCGGGCTCTGACTCTGGCAGGCCCAGTGCTAAGACCCTCCCAGGCCTGAAACATCCTTCGACGGTCCCAAAGTGTTTTATGAGCCAGAGCGAGGGAGGCAATGGTGGTGGAGGTGGCTCTGGAGCCAGACTCCCCAGGTTCAGATCCTGGCTCTGTCCCTAATCAACCGTGTGACCTCAGGCACGTGACTTAGCGTCTCTCTGTGCCCCCTTTCTTCATCTGTCGATGACGGGGTTATTGTAGTAAGTGAACGAGGCGTACACAGTGCCAGGAACATAGCAGGCCACCATGCCACGCCAGCTGTTACTGATATTGGTGATTCCGGACACACCAGCGAGGTGGGTTCCCATTATTCTCCAGGGGACGCTGAAGACCCCAGAACCAACCCAGCATTTCCTCTGAGAACCCAAGAATGGGGAAAAGTCCCCTTGACTAGCTGGGGCCTTGGGCAAGGCTGTTTGTCCTGAGCACCCAGCCCCCTGCAGCCCCCTCCCCATGTGAACTCCAGGCAGTGCCTGCACCCTCTGGGCCTCAGGCTGCCTGGCTGCACAGTGGGGGTGTGGCCTGAATGCTCCCTGGGGACCGTCCAGCTCAGACTCTGTGGGGCTGGGAAGGCCCTGGGGAGACTTGCTCAACAGCCCACGGGATCACCAGGCCTCCTAAGGGACAGTCAATGGGCCTGGGAACAAGGAAGGCCAGTCTCTATGGCAACCCATTCCATTGCGGTCACAGTGCCCATCAGCACTCATACAGCTGGTGTCCCACAGGTCCTGCTGACCTGACTACCTGCAGCCCCAGGCCTGACGGAGGCGGAGGCCCAACCAGCCACCGCACCTGCTCCCTGGTGCGGCATCGACAGCACACTAGCAGGCCCTCTGCTAGTCACTGCAGGGGACACAGAGATGAGTTAGCCAAGTCCTGCCTCAGGGGACCCCATAGCAGGGGACTTGTTTGTGGGGCTTGGAGAGGAAATAAAAATTACAAAAAGAAAATATATATATATATACATTTTTTTTCTTTTTTTCTTTTTGAGAAAGAATCTCACTCTGTTGCCCGGGCTAGAGTGCCGTGGTGTTATCACAGCTCACAGCGACCTCAAACTTGTGGGCTCAAGCGATCCTCCTGCCTCAGCCTCCCGAGTAGCTGGGACTACAGGTGCACACCACCACACCCAGCTAACTATTTTTTCTATTTTTAGTAGAGACAGGGTCTCACCCATGCTCAGGCTGGTCTCGAACTCCTGAGCTCAAGCGATCCTCCTGCCTCAGCCTCCCAGAGTGCTAGGATTACAGACATGAGCCACCACGCCCAGCCATAAAAATATATTTTAAAGTAACAAATTTTTTAAATATATAAAGAACTATCTAAAAGCCCTCACTTTCTTTAGAATGAACTAAATGATGAAAAGTGAGCTCCCTGTCACTGGAGGTAATCAAAGACAGGAAAATGGGTACTTGGCTGATGTGCCGTGTATGGATAGGGAAAGCCAGGGCTGGACCTTGAGGGCCCTTCCAGCATCAAGAGAATGCACATGCCCTCTTGGGAGGGAGCAAGAAAAAAAAGACACAGCCCCTGGCCGCTAAGCTCCTAAACTAATCAGGACGACCACTGCCCACTGGGGTACTCAGAAAAAGCATAACAGGACCCATAAGACCAAGATAAGGGGACCTGAGCCACCAACTGCAATGTTTGTTGGTTTGTGGGCTTGTGTGTTTTGGGTTTTTTTTTTCTCGTCAGTGGTTGATTCTGATCATACGAATGACACGTGTGTGTGGAAAGGCAGGCAGCGTGCTCGAGTGCACACACTCCTGTGCCTGAATCCCAGCGTTGCCATCCCACTGCGGGACCCTGTGCCTCAGCTGCGTCCTCTGTCAATCGGGGATGACAATACCCATGTCACAGGGCTGCCGGGAGAATTGGTGATTTAAAGTACACGGAACATGCTTAGGACAGTGCAGCACGTGGCCAGGCCTCAACAAAAGGGTCATGTTTATCACTCAGCGTGGACTCTTTGGGAACTCCAGGAAGAAAATAAAATGCCCCCTGATCCTGCCCCTAGAAGACAACCACCCGGGCATGGCGCTGTGTTTTCCTTCCAACATCACGGGAACGCGAGAAGGTACACAAAACCAGGATCCGTCTGGCACCCTTGACTATGAGTTCCCTGTGGGCAAGGCCCGAATGGACCCAGAGACCAGGATGGGTCTAGAAATATGTGCAGAATAGACACAAGACTAAATGAGCACAGATGTATAATTTGCACTCTGTTTTGTTCCCGAAAAGCCACATTGTAGAGATAAAATATCAGTCCATGATATTCAAATACTTCCAGAGCCCTGACCTTGGCCTGGGCCCTGCTCTAAGCACTTTGTAAATATTGACTTATTAAATCCTCATGATAATCTAGGAGGTAATACTAACAACGTCTTTATTTTACAAATGAGACAACTGAGGCACAGAGAGGTTGAAGAACTTGCCTGAGGTCACACAGCATGGGTGAGAGTGGAAAGAAAGGGGAACAGGGAACCACACTGGGCAGGAAGGAATCAGGGCCTGCTCATGGGGTCCAGCAGGGGAACTCTCGGGCCCCACCTCCTGCCCTCGGGGCTTCCCTCTCACGTGGAGCAGCCAGATGTCCTTGGCAGAAGTGAGCGAGTGGAGACGGCGGCCCAGCCCCACTCCTGGAGAAAGTACCAGATTTTAGGCTTCAGCCAAGCAGACCGTGCCTGGGGAAGGATGGCCTGTGGGGCTGCTGCCCTGTGGCGTGCGCCATGGGGACAGACAGCCGTCCTCCCAGGGCAGGACCCTATCTGCCCACTTCCTGGTTCTGGGGCCCAAACGCCCAGTCACCATGAGTCTCCCCTGGGAGAAGGGCCAAGGCCCCACATCTCTTCCTCCACTTGCAGGCTCCGAGGTAGAGATAGATCCTCGGGGGGCAAGGGGAAGCAGTGGGGACCCCCCCCCGGGGATGCGGGTTCCCAGGGGAAGGTGGCCCCTTTCCTCTGGGGAGTCACTCCTGACTGCAGGCTCCGGACTCCTCCCCAGGCAGCAGGCCTGCGCCATCGCTCCCAAGAGAGGCGCCAGGATACGGCTCCCCGCAGTGCCCCGTCGATGTCCCACGTGTAGCATGCTCCCCGGGCCGGCATCCCACCCCTGCCTCCGCACGCGCCCCCAAGCCATGCACCTACTATGTGCCAGGCCCTGTGCTGGCTTCTGCCCGTGTGCAGCCCCGGGGTATCTCCTCCCGCACCTATCTCCCGTCCCTCAGGCTGGGCAGGGCCTGAGGCCTGGTCCTGGGCCTGGACACAGTGGGGGGGGCCCCGCCCAGCCCACCCTCCTCCTGTGGCCAGAGTCATCTCTGAACCACACAGGCAGCTGGGGCCTCCACAGAAAGCCTGTAACGGCCTGAGTGTTCCTGGGGGCGACTGCTAAATAGGCGATGCCCCGCTCACCGGTCACCGAGTGCACAGCGGAGCAGCTGCTAAAAAGAACAGGCAGGCCGGGCGTGGCGCGCAGCCTGGAATCCCAGCGCTGCGGGAGGCTGAGGCAGGAGGATCTGGTTCTGGGGCCAGATCCTGGCTTGAGCCCCGGAGTTTGAAACCAGCCTGGGCAACAGAGCAAGACCTCATCTCGACAAAAAAAATCTTTTCAATTAGCCAGGCATGGTGGTGCATGCCTGTAGTCACAGCTACTCGGGAGGCTGGGGCAGGAGGCTCGCCGAGCCTAGAAGTTTGCGGTTACGGTGAACTACGCACCACTGCACTCCAGCCTGAGCAACAGAGCGAGAGGCGAGACCCTGCGTCTTAAAAAAAGGTGAAAAAACGGAGAGGAAAAAAAAGAACAAGAGCTCACCACACACTGTTAAGCGAAAAGAGGAAGATGGCAACGTAGAATCTCCTCTGGGTATCTCAGGGCCTCAGTTTCCTCATGTGAAAAGTGGGGACAATGTACCCACATCACAGGGTGGTGGGAGGATTAAATGTGACAATGTGTGCGAGGGACTTAGCGTGGTGCCTGACCTGTAGCCAACGTGAACTGTTATTGCTGTAAAGAAAATGGGTTTGTGCATGCATGCGGACGTGAACATATGCACGCACACGGGCACTCTGGAGGCTTAGAGAAAGTTCTGGAAGGATTCTAAATTCTTCGCAATGTTTCATCCGAAAGGTGTGGGACGGGGAGAGGAAAATCCCTTTTTTACTTTATATCCTGTGTCAACTGACATTTAGAAATTACTTTGTTGTGATTTTTTTTTAAATGAGACGTTAAAAAAATATGCAAGAGCTTCCTATCACGCCCCTGTGGATGAGGCCTAAACCCTCACCTGGGTCCACCGGGCCCTGCGGCTGGTGCTGCCACCCTCCCCCAGGCCTCTCCCAGCCTCCCCCCATGACCTGCCCGGCTGGAGGGCTCCACACTGTCCCTCACCTCCTCGGATGCCCACGACGCACTGTTGTTCAGACACGACACACCAGCCCCTCCTTCCCAGCTCTGAAGGACACGACCTCCACCTCCAAGCGGAGAGGGCAGGAGCTCAGGAGGTGAGAGTGCGGACTCCAGGCAAGCCTGAGTTCAGGCCCTGGCTCCACTCACCGGCTAACTCCTTGAGCATGTCATTTCGCCTGTTTCCTCCCTTTGAAATGGGAATAATAATAAGCCCAACATCTGAAAATTAGAGAGCAAGTCCACGCGCCAGGAAAAGAATAAGTGCTCAATGAACAGCACGCAGTGTTGTTTACTGTTGTGTTATCAAGAGGAGGCAGGACCTTGGCTGCCGAGCACAAAGGGGGCACTTTACACGCGGTTGGCTCTCAACTGTCCTGACAGCACTGTGAAGCAGGGACCTGTAACTGCACCCACTTCACAGATGGGACCGAGGTTCAGAGGAGCTGGAACCTTGCCCAA